ACATGCTAGTTTATGCAAATTCATGGCAATCTTATGCATGCATGTGTATATTGACTCCCAATTCATCAAAACCAACTCATTTTCATTCAATTCATGTTCTTGATCACCATTCAACTCTGAATTCACATGTTACAAACTAAAATCCACGAATCTACTCACCTAGGAGCTTCAAACACCCAAATTCTAGCCAATTCGTGAGTTAATCTTCAAGATTTCCAAGCCTCTTGCTCAAATCTCCAATTGTTTCCCCTCTCTCCCTCTCTAGCCGACCCTCTCTCTCTTTCTTTAGAGCAATCTCAACCAAGTTGAATAAAAAGAGAGGAATTGAGTGTATAATGGCCCTTTTATAGCCCCACTTAATCAAATTTGATTATAACCAATTAATGGCACTTAATTAATCATTCTGAATCTAATTATTTTGATCTGAATCAATTTTCAATTAAATTTCACCATAGGCTCTAAAAATCACACTAATCACAAAGGCGTAGTCAATTTTGATTTTTATGGCTGATAAGGCCTTCAATTTTCAGTTTATAACAGTAAGTTGAACAGATATTCCTACAGTGAACAGATAGAAATTCAAAACCACATATATTCATATAAGTGGCACACAAAATCATATCAAACACATAATCACAATCGTAATTCAAATTAATTAGCATAATACGGAACAGGGTTATCACAAATTTTCAATACTAGAACTTATCAGTAGAATCTCTATCTTGAGCAAAAAAGGAATCGAACATTGGTTTTGCGAAATTGATTTCTAAAAGCGAGCATAAGTAAAACTAGGGGCACTGTGAATGATCAGTTACCTTGAGTCTCTTTCTGCTTTTGGGTCACTTATGAGTTCTGTTGTGTCGCGCTTGGTGTTTGTTTCGCGCCTGGTGTTTGTCTCGGTCTACACTTTTCATCGAGTCACCATAACGTGCCTATCACTCAAAAGGACTTTTCATCGAGTTGCCATAATGTGTTTGTCGCTCAAAAGCACTCTTCATTAAGTCATCATAGCGTGTTGCTCTTCATCGAGTCACCCTACTGAGTCTGTCGCTCAAAAGTTCAATAGAGTGGCATGGTCAAAATTCCATACACGAATGTTCGCTCCAAACTCGAAAACAAGTCCATGTGTGGAATTCATAAACGAGCTGAGAGTGTCCATACAAGGGGCATCGCATTCATGATCATCGCAAAGTGTATATGAGGAATCTGTCACTATTTCAGGGGAGATTAGAATAAGTTCTCAATATGGTAGAATAGAAGAGACGCATGAGTCTAATTGGTTGGCAATTGTTCCAGGATTTGATGATCCCTATTACATGTGCATGCATAATGTTGAAAAAGGTGGCCAATGACTGAACACTAGGGGCAATTTTCAGTACATCTGATCGGGCCATCCATCGAACAAGGGGCATGAACCCAACCGGTGGCCAATGGCTGGACACTAGGGAAAATTTTCAGTATATCTGATTGGGCCATCAATTGAACAAGGGGCATGGACCTAACCTTCCCCTCAGTCCGCTCAAAGCCTTTCGTTGGGCACTTTTCCCTAGATTAGGGTGGGTTTACCCCGATGTTGATTTTGATACGATTCAGCTTTCGAAAATTGTCTCCGACCATTTCAAGACTCTTTTGGGATTGCCATATTCCCTCTGATTAATACATGTTCTTTGGATTATGTCTACATGTTTATACACTCTGGTTGCTTTGAACTGCTTGATTGGTTGCTCTTACTCTTAACTTTGTTCTACACTTAAACAGAGTTTTGCCGAGTTGCCTCCATTTGCGTTGCATTTCAATGAGTTGTGGCAAGTTGCCTTACACTCATTTCGTAAGGTACATGCCGTATTACTCTGAGTACTACTCATTTTCCTCTAAATACCATGCATCGCTCACCTGACACACTATTTTGTGCATTTCACTTTGCATCGCACTATCTTGTGCACCACCCGCACTGTTTTGTGCACCTCACTCGTACTGTCTAGTGCATTTCAACGTACATCGCACTGTCTAGTGCATTTCAACTCATATCGCACTATCTAGTGCATTTTAACTTACATCTCACTGCCTAGTGCATTTCACCTACATCGCACTGTCTAGTGCATTTCAACATACATCTCACTGTCTACTGCATTTCACCTGCATAGCACTGTCTTATGCATTTCACCTTACATTGCACTGTCTAGTGCATTTCAACTTACATCGCACTGTCTAGTGCATTTCACCCACATCGCACTACCGTGTGCATCGTACCCTGCATAGCACTGTTTTGTGCATTCACCCTGTATCGCACTGTCTTGTACACCTGTATAGCACCGTTTTGGGCATTCATCCTCACCAGCACTGTCTTGTGCACTCCTTGGTCTAAGAGACCTTAAATCCTCTAAAGGTGTAATAACCCGACCCTCATATTTGTTTCTAGTATATTTTTCGGTTCTTTATTCTGTGCATTTACTTGTTTTCTGTGCAATTTCATGTGAAATGAGGTTTAATTAAATAAAATTTATGAAAAGTGATTCATATCTGTTCACTAAGGATCATATCTGTCATAATTAAGAAGTTGGAATCAGAAATTGGAAGCTGTAGGGACGTAATTTTCTGAAATTTATTTGACATTTAGAATCTGCATGATTTTTAAGCTATAATGGGATTTTCTGTGGAATTTCAATTTGGGATGCTTCAACGATTGACTTTTGTCTTATTCACCCTTATATAAATATCTCTATATATATCAAAGTTCTTTGAATATTTTGACTTAGAAGCTCATTGAAATATCTCCGGGAGGAAGAACTTAGTTGAGAGAAGGGTTGAGAGGAATAGCTCATCAAAGAAGGTAGAGAATTGTGAGATTGAAGAGAGATCTAGATAGTGAAGTTCAAGGTAAGTCTAAGTTCTCCAAATTCAACCCTTTCTTTTGAATTTGGAGAAGGAATTGCTTGCTATTGTGTACCCTAGAGTTGTAATGAGGGTTTTGGGTGTATTGATTTGTTAGTAAGATGATTCTACTACTTGCTTATGTTAACCTAATTAGGGCCATCTAGGGAGGAATCTATAATTTGTTTCTTGAATTACCATGTTGGAACCCACATGGGTAAATATATGCCTATATATGTATATATGTGTATGTGAGAGGCATAGATTGTGGTGGTGACTAATTGAAGAAGATCAAATCCATGTTCAAATGGTTGTGTGTTTGTACCCCTATTTACATGATTTGTAAACCATGTTTTAGTATTTAAAGAATCTAATTTGGACCTTACTGATGATCACCAAACATGGGGTTTTGTATGAAATTTGGACTGCCAAACAGGGGCCAGGCCGCACGTGCGAAAAATAGAGAAAAAAAACTGAGGAAGCATCCTATTTTTGGCCGCACGAGCGGTGGAGGGGGACTGCACGTGCGGTACATGTCCGCATGAGCGGAAGGGATGGCCACACGTGCGGCCCAGGTCGGAAAACTTGTTCACTCCGTTTTACGTGCCTAACCCTCAGCTATTTTTGGAATTTATGTTTGATGTCTTTTTGATGGTTGTAAATGCAATTCAAGTGTAATGACTTAAGAAGTGGGTTAATAAGGAAAAAGGAACTAATGTGTGTTATATATGTGTGTTGGACACACTACGGGAGGAACCATCGCTCCGCAACAACATTGTGAGTAATAGTACAATGAGTGTACATTTATTTACAGTTGATATCCAATTCTATTAGCGTTCTGTATTCCGTAAATTATTACATTGATATGTAAATTGATTGGAACTCGATGGGAATGTAAATATTGAAGGACATTACGTATTTCTATATATTTCTGGGCTGAAAGGCTGTTCTATATACTTCTGGGCCGAAAGGCTGTTCTATATATTTTTGGGCCGAAAGGCTGTTCTGTATATTTTTGGGCCGAAAGGTTGTTCTGTATATTTCTGTGCCGAAAGGTTGTTCTGTATATTTTTGGGCCGAAAGGCCGTTCTGTTACATCTGGGCCAACAGGCCGTTCTGTTATATCGGGGCCTAAGGCCGTTCTGAAAATAAAACAGCAACAGACTAACTATATGACTCTGCATGTGTATACAATTTGTTATGTATTATAATTTAATCTGTTCATTGGAAAGGTAAAGTACTATTAGTCATTGAGCTTGTCTCACTCTGTATTTTGTCTGATGCTGTAGGTAATCAACCGGGCGGTCAGTCCTAACCCCGCTACCTGTCCACCTTTTTGTCAACCTAAGCAACCAGGCACTTGGAGAAGCCCTTTGCATTCTAGTACAGTTTTGCTAGACTTTGTTATCTTGTTTTGCCGGCCAAGGTTGATTTGTATCTAATGTTTTGTTATATGCCCAACCTCTGGGCTGGACTTGTAAATGTGTGTATGTAACTTAATCTCAGATGCATGTTCTCTATATGTTTAATTCCTAGTCGTGGTCCTGGCATATTTGTAGTAGCTCAATGGATGTGTCTGCATGTTATTCTATTATATCAACGCTTCCGTTCAGGCCCCAGATATTATGTATAGTAGGATAAGTGTCTGTTTCTGAGTAGGTCATGCCCGAATTTTTAGGGGCAAGTTTGGGGTGTGACAAGTGGTATCAGAGCACGAGTTGCTATCTCACACACGAGTCCATTGAGCTATAGGATGTCTAGAAATATTTAGGCTTCATGCATAACATTCTGAAAGTATATGAAAGACCGATACCGATAGCAACGTTCAATGTATTCCGCTAACGCTAATGTTTATGAATCATGCCTGCTGTATATTCTTGTGTATGTTGTAATTGATTGTCTTGTAGACTATGGTGAGAACAAGGACAGAGTACCTGGACGATACTACTTCGGCACGGTTGGACAGAATAGAAAGAATGATTATGGAAATGGCGGAGACCCTACGGCAACAACAACAACAGCAGCAACAACCACAACCACCACCACCACCACCGCCAGTACCTCCACTTGTGGTACAAGATTTTCAAGCTGAGGATAGAACCATTACACTCACCAAGGAGTTTAAAAAGATGAAACCGCCATCGTTTAAAGGAGGAATCGAACCGATGAAAGCTGAGGCATGGGTATTGGGAATAGAAAAGTTGTTCGAAGTTTTCCCTTGTACTGAAATCCAAAAGGTGCAGCTTGCTGCTTTTACTCTTGAAGATGAGGCGCGGAGGTGGTGGATGCTCACAAGAACAATGCACCAGGGGTTGACATGGGACAGATTCTTAGAGCTGTTTTATGACAAATATTTTCCCCAAAGTATGCGAGACAAGAAGGTGACTGAATTTGAAACACTTAGACAATGAAATAAGACTGTTGCCGAGTATGAAGCTCAATTTGCAGAACTAGCCCGATTCGCACCTCATATGGTGGATACAGATTATAAGAAGGCACGAAAATTCGAAAGGGGATTGCGAGGTGCTATTCTGGGCCGAGTTAATGTGTTGAAGCTACCTACTTATGTTGATGTGTTGGAGAGGGCTGTTATAGCAGAAAGGAATCTTGCTGCTCAGAGTCAGATTGCTGAATGGAAAGGAAAAAGGTAAAATAATCAATTATCAAGGGGGTCAACTGCTCCACCAAACAAGAAGAAAAATTCAAGGACCTCCAGCACTACCACTTCCACTCAAGGTTCAGCCCCTGAGTGTCCAGAGTGCGGAAGGAGACACCGAGGGATTTGTCACCAATTATCTGGAGCATGTTTTCGATGTGGTAAAACGGGTCATCTGGTAAGAGATTGTCCTCAAAGGAATCAGCAGAATAACAACAAAACTGTCACAAGTTCAGTGGGGTCTGCACCAACTTCCAGCACCAAGTCAGCTACCAAACCTGCTAACAACAAGGATACTGCGAGACAAGGTAGAGTGTTTGCATTGGTTCCAGGAGATGTATAGAATGCAGCGACAGTTGTGACAGGTACTTTTATTGTTCATGGTCATTCCGCTCATGTATTGTTTGACTTTGGCTCTACTCATTCCTTTGTGTCCAAACTATTTGCACAATACTTAGATAGATCTGAAGAGGTATTATCCTATGTGTTGTGTGTATCCTCACCCTTGGGGGATTCTATGATCTGTACTTCTGTATATTTTGCTTGTGAACTCCTAATTGGGGATGTTCGGGTATATGCCAATCTGTTACCTCTTGATATGACTTATTTTGATATTATTCTGGGAATGGACTGGTTGAGCGAGTATGGTGCAACTATAGATTATGTGACTAAACAAATTAGTTTTTGCCCTCCGGGACAATCAGAATCTACTTTTCAAGGACAAGAAGTGACTTCTCCACCCTACTTGATTTCTGCAGCAAAGGCCTGTAAATTGATTCAGAGGGGATGTCAGGGATACTTATGCAATGTTTTGGAAGGGCCAATAATGAATGAGAGTATTGATATGATTCCAGTCGTTCGTGAATTCCCGGATGTTTTTCCGGAAGAATTACCGGGGGAGTTAGTGGACCGTGAAATTGAATTTACAATTGAAGTAACACCAGGAACTCAACCCATTTCTAAGACTCTATACAGAATGTCACCAGTTGAAATGAAGGAATTAAAGGTTCAGTTGCAAGATTTGCTTGATAAGGGGTTCATTCGTCCAAGTGTTTCTCCGTGGGGTGCACCAGTTCTGTTTGTGAAAAAGAAAAACGGAACACTCCGATTATGTATAGACTACCCGGAGCTTAATAAAGTAACAATCAAGAATAAGTACCCATTACCGTGGATCGATGATTTATTTGACCAATTACAAAGGGCACAGGTCTTTTCCAAAATTAATTTACAGTCCGGATACCACCAATTGAAAGTTAAAGCTAACGATGTTGAGAAGACAGCTTTCTGAACCCGATACGGTCATTATGAATTTCTGGTTATGCCCTTTGGAGTTACTAACGCACCAGCAGTATTTATGGATCTGATGAACCGTGTTTTCAAGCCTTATCTGGATGAGTTTGTGGTAGTCTTTATTGATGATATTCTTATTTACTCGAAGAATGCAGAAGCTCATGAAAACCATCTTCGCTTAATCCTTCAGACCCTCCGAGAAAAGAAGTTGTATGCAAAGTTGAAGAAATATGAATTTTGGTTACATGAGGTGGCCTTTCTGGGACATGTTATAACACAGGATGGAGTTTCTGTTGATCCACATAAAATTGAAGCTGTCATAAACTGGCCAACTCCTACCAATGTGACTGAGGTGCGTAGTTTTATGGGGTTAGCTGGATATTACCGGAGATTCGTCCAAGACTTCTCCAAAATTACTGTACCGCTTACACAATTGACTCAAAAGGGGGTTGCGTTTGAATGGTCAGGACAGCGGGAATCTGCTTTCCAAGAATTAAAAACGAAGTTGACTATAGCTCCGGTCCTTGCACTGCCATCTGGTACTGAGGGATTTGTAATTTACAGTGATGCTTCACATAAGGGACTTGGTTGTGTACTTATGCAAAACGGAAGAGTTATCACTTATGCCTCTCGACAGCTTAAACCTCATGAGAAAAATTATCCCACGCATGACCTGGAACTAGCTACAGTAGTTTTTGCTTTAAAAATATAGCGGCATTTTCTCTACGGTACTACTTGCGAGGTGTACACCGACCATAAGAGCCTCAAGTATCTTTTTACGCAACAGGAGCTGAATATGCGACAGCGACAGTGGTTGGAACTTATTAAAGACTATGATTTGCAAATCCATTATCATCCTGGTAAAGCCAACACGGTGGCAAATGCGCTTAGTCGAAAGAATGTTAGACAATTGGAAAATCTATTTACAGAACAAAAGAAATTGCTGAGTGAATTGAACAGAATGGAGGTAGATCTCGTGATACTTGAGCAGGAGGCCATAGTAGCGGCGGTGATAGCCCAGCCGACATTACTCGAAGAGATCAAACTACGTCAAATGGAAGATGGGACTTTAAAGAAGATATGTGATGAGATGGAGACAAAACCAAAACCGGGATTTACTCTAAGGGATTCTATACTCAAATTTCAAAACTGAATATGTGTTCCTAATGTGTTAGAACTTAAACAAAAACTAATGGAAGAAGCACATGCCTCAAGGTTTTCAATACATCCAGGAAGCACGAAAATGTACCGGGATTTGAAACAAAATTTTTGGTGGCCGAGTATGAAAAATGAGATCGCGGAGTTCGTCTCTAAATGTTTACAATGCCAGCAAGTAAAGGCAGAGCATCAAAGAACAGCAGGATTGCTACAACCCCTTCCAATTCCAGAATGGAAGTGGGAATATCTTACCATGGATTTTGTTGTAGGCTTGCCACGGACTCCTCGGGGTATGAATTCTATATGGGTCATTGTCGACCGATTAACTAAGTCCGCCCACTTCCTGCCTGTGAAGACCCAGTATAATGCAGATAAACTTGCTGTGCTCTATGTAAATGAAATTGTGAGGCTTCACGGTGTTCCGGTCTCAATTGTGTCAGATAGAGATCCAAAATTTGTTTCAAGGTTCTGGCAAAGTCTACAGGATACAATGGGTACAGAATTGAAGTTTAGCATACCTTTCCACCCTCAAACAGACGAACAATCTGAGAGGACGATTCGGACGTCAGAGGATATGCTTCGAATGTGTGTTCTAGATTTTCAAGAAAGTTGGGAAACTCATCTGCCGTTGGTCGAGTTTGCATATAATAACAGTTACCATTCGAGTATTGAGATGGCACCCTATGAAGCTCTGTATGGAAGACCGTGTCATTCTCCCGTGTGTTGGGCTGAAGTTGGAGATAGGGCATTGTTAGGGCCTGAGATTGTCCAGTTGACAACTGAAAAGGTTAAAATTATTCGGGAAAGATTGAAAACTGCTCAAAGTAGACAGAAGAGTTATGCGGATAACCGACGAAGGAACTTGAAATTTGAAGTAGATAGTCATGTGTTTGTAAAAGTCACCCCGATGAAAGGACATCCAAGATTCGGAAAAAGGGGTAAGTTAACGCCCCGATATGTTGGTCATTTCCAAATTATAGAAAGAGTGGGCCCGGTACCATACCGAGTTGTCCTTCTGCCAAATATGAGCCAAGTGCATAATGTATTCCATGTGTCGATGCTTCGAGGGTATCTCCCAGATCCGTCACATGTCCTTGATTACCACCAAATTATTGTGGATGATAAGTTAACATACGAGGAAAGACCAATTCGAATTCTAGACCGTCAAGTGAAACAATTACGGAATCGAGAGATCCCAATGGTAAAAGTTGAATGGCAAGAACATTACGGAACCGAAGCAATGTGGGAAAAAGAAGAGGAGATGCAACATCAATATCCGCATTTATTCTGATCTGGAGGTAAAACAAGTTTGGGGGACCAAACTTATTTAAGGGGGGAAGAGTGTAATAACCCGACCCTCATATCTGTTTCTGGTATATTTTTCGGTCCTTTATTCTGTGCTTTTACTTGCTTTCTGTGCAATTTCATGTGAAATGAGGTTTAATTAAATAAAATTTATGAAAAGTGATTCATATCTGTTCACTAAGGATCATATCTGTCACAATTAAGAAGTTGGAATCAGAAATTGGAGGCCGTAGGGACTTAATTTTCTGAAATTTATTTGACATTTAGAATCTGCATGATTTTTAAGCTATAATGGGATTTTCTATGGAATTTCAATTTGGGATGCTTAAACGATTGACTTTTGTCTTATTCACCGTTATATAAATATCTCTATATATATCAAAGTTCTTTGAATATTTTGACTTAGAAGCTCATTGAAATATCTCCTGGAGGAAGAACTTAGTTGAGAGAAGGGTTGAGAGGAATAGCTCATCAAAGAAGGTAGAGAATTGTGAGATTGAAGAGAGATCTAGATAGTGAAGTTCAAGGTAAGTTTAAGTTCTCCAAATTCAACCCTTTCTTTTGAATTTGGAGAAGGAATTGCTTGCTATTGTGTACCCTATAGTTGTAATGAGGGTTTTGGGTGTATTGATTTGTTAGTAAGATGATTCTACTACTTGCTTATGTTAACCTAATTAGGGCCATCTAGGGAGGAATCTATAATTTGTTTCTTGAATTACCATGTTGGAACCCACATGTGTAAATATATGCCTACATATGTATATATGTGTATGTAAGAGACATAGATTGTGGTGATGACTAATTGAAGAAGATCAAATCCATGTTCAAATGGTTGTGTGTTTGTACCCCTATTTACATGATTTGTGAACCATGTTTTAGTATTTAAAGAATCTAATTTGGACCTTATTGATGATCACCAAACATGGGGTTTTGTATGAAATTCGGACTGCCAAACAGGGGCCAGGCTGCACGTGCGGAGGTTGTGGCTGCACGTGCAGAAAATAGAGAAAAAAACTGAGGAAGCATACTGTTTTTTGGCCGCACGAGCGGTGGATAGGGACCGCACGTGCGGTACATGTCCGCACGAGCGAAAGGGATGGCCGCACATGCGGCCCAGGTCGGAAAACTTGTTCGTGTAGCTCGGATTTAGAGTTCTTTTTTTGTTTGAAGAAATCGAAACATTTGCACACCAGACTTTCATCCTTGAGTTGATCAAATCAGTGGCGCCAAGCTTAAGTGGGTAAAAAATGGCGGTGTCTACAGCTGTGCCCTCTTTGACAGAGCTCGGAAGCCATGAAATGGCATGAGTGATGTCCAATCCCGAAAGACGACCATTTTGACAAGGCCGTAAGACTTGGACAAAACAAACAAACAATGACGGATGCAATTGGTTGAAACCAAGGGTTGCCTACGTTTCCCGTTGCAAGGGAATAAAATTGGCGTTGTTCAGGGACAGAATGTAAATGATATGCAATGAACAAAATAATACAAATGATATGTAGTTGCGATGCAATAATATTATCAAACCACAAGTAGTGCAAAACACACAAATATCAGAAAGAGATTGGAGATGCAAAATTGAACTACGTT